GCTGCGAGGACCTCGAGCGGCCTCCGGAGACCACGCAGCTACCCGCACCTGGAGGGCGACGTGCGCTGGCGGCGCCTTTTCTCCTCCACCCACTTCTTCCTGCGCGTCGACCCCAGCGGCCTCGTGCAAGGCACCCGCTGGTGCCACAGCCCCGACAGTGAGTCGCGTGCGGCTGCCGGGTGACTGGGATGGGGGGCGGGGGCGGGGGGCGCGGGGCGCGGGGCGCGGGAAGGTTCTGGACAAATAGGCGGGCAATGACAACTGCAGCAGTAACCTTAACGATGAGCTGGGCCCTCCCTCATGCGACAGATGGTCCTGGGGGCTCCTGTGGTGGTATGGCATTGGTCAAGTCATTTACCCTTTTGGCTTCATTTTCCTCCGCAGTAAAATCGGCCAAACCTTAAGGGTCACAGAGGAAGCTCCCAGCTCCAGGCCTGGCTCACCAGCAGAGAAAGGGTGTTTACAGATAGTTGAGTTTGGGGTCACTGGGCCCATTTGTAGAGGGGAAACCAAGGCCCTAGAAAGTTACATAATGCAGTGTGGGTCAGAGCTGGGCTCTGAACTTGACTCCCACAATACAGAACAAAACTCAGCATCTGCATGGGTTAGGGACCCCTCTATTTCTTTCTAGGAAACTGAGACAGAGAGGAGAAATGACCTGCCCAGGGTCACACTGCTGGGGGTTTGTATCGCTGGGGTTCCTTGATGCTCCCAGAACCTCATCGAGACGAAGTCACTGTCCCAGTTGCCCCGCCTGGTAAACAATGGGCTCTCAATAAGTATCTGTGGAATGCATGAGGCAAGAGGAGACGCAGGGGCAAAGAGGGGGTTGGGGACAGTTGGGAAGCCAGGGTGGTGGGTGACACCATGAGCCTGCCTCAGTCTCCCCGCAACCCTGAGCCCTGGGCGGGGGTGGGTGGGGGGCTGGAGGAATGAAGCTAATCGCTGGCCACTGCCTGAATCACCACCATTAGGGCAGATAATCACCCCTGCCCTTCCCAGATGCTTTCATCTGGGGCTCCCAAGGCCCTCATTAGAGTCACTAGACCAGGGCAATGACAGGGGACTGGCTGGGCCGGTTGACTGGTGGTGGACACAGCCAGGCAGGGTGGCCTCAGGCTGGGGATGAGGCCTGGCTCTGCCGGTGACCTGAGACAACTGCTTCTTCTATCCCAGCCTCAGTTTCCCCATCTGGGCAGTGATGGAATGATAAATGGTTGGTTGATGGCTCTGTGTGGGTTGGACTTGGAGGTCTTATGTCCTTCATTATTAATTCAGTATGCTGTACTGGGCACAAGGGACATAGGGGTGACCGGGACAGCTCACCTTCACGTGGTGCCAGCACAGAGGGTAAAGAGGTTAGACGTGTGATATAATTTCAGAGGGGACCACATGTGGTGCAGAGAAAATGAAAACAGGGCAATGTACAAGAGGTGACTGGAGGACTGCTTTATCTGGGAGGTCTTGGGGGCTTCTCCAAGGAAGTGGGCTTGAGTTGAACCTCATATCAAGAAAAGGAGCTGACCATGCACAAGAGGAGCCAGGGGCCTGGCTGAGGGAACAGCAGGTACAAGGCCCGATGGGGCGTGGGGTAAGCTCCTTGCTATCTCAGGTATCCAAGTACAAACTGAAGACCGGAGGGCAAAACCTTGACTCCAGATTAGACCTCCGTGCACAGATTTGACCCCATGAAGGTGAGCTGTCTCTGGTCACCACTGTCCCTCATGCCCAGCACAGCATAGAGGAGGTACCCAGGTTAGACCCCAGTGCATGGCTGAGGGTATGTGTGGCTCATCCTGAAGTCCTGCTTCACTGGACAGGAAACACTGGCTCAGAGCCAGGCAGAGCCCACCCAGGGCCGCCCACCAACAGGTGGGGCCTGAAGCTGCCTCTGCTCCTTCCCAGGCCTGTTTCCCCCTTGGGAAGTGGGCACAGTCAGCACCCAGTATCATCACAAAGGCCCTCAGAGGAGGAAGGCAGGAGGGTCAGCTCAGAGATGGAAGAGGCTGCGCTGCTGGCTGTGAAGATGAGGAAGGGGCCACGAGCCAGGGATGTGGCGCCTCTTAAAGCTGGAAAAGGCCAGAATGATTCTTCCTGGAGCCTAAGGAAGGACCAGTCCTGCCCACACCTGGGGTTAGCCCCTAAGATTATGTAAGACGCCTGACCCCAGAACTGTGTGGGCTTAGTGGGGTACAGTGCTTGGCACAGAGTTGGCACTCAAACAGGGCTAACAGCTATCAAGTTGAATGCACTGTGCTGTAAACACCCATGTCCCCCCTCAGGCCTTTGCCTGGGCAGTGCTCCCTTCTGGAGTTTCCTCTCCCTGTAACTGAGTGGCTACAGCTGGCGCAGTTCTCAGGGCCAGACATGGCAAAGGCAATGAGAACTATGGGGGAAGCTGCACAGCCCACGGTCACGGTTACACTCAATACTTGTTCTTACTGAAATTGACAGCTCACTCAGGCAAGCACCTAACTCCTCTGGCTTGGTTTTCTCAACCCTGACCTAACAGGACTCCCCGCTGCTCCACAGCTTGCTCTGGTTCCCCAGTACCCTTTGGAGAAAGCCCAACTATCCACCACTTACATCCTCCAATGTGTCAGGGCACATCCTCTGGACAGGCCCACACAGATGAGACTGGGTGGGCCCCAGTGTGCTCCCATTCCCAGCACAGGGCCAGGCACACAGGTGGTGCTTGGTGAATGAATGAATGAGCAAATGGGAAGCAGATGGGGCTGAGGGCCCTGACCGAGCCCTTCCCAGCAGGCATCATTGAGATCCGCTCCATCCGCGTGGGCGTCGTGGCCCTCAAGGCTGTGCACACCGGCTTCTTCGTGGCCATGAGCCGCCGGGGCCACCTCTATGGGTCGGTGAGTGCATGGTGGGGGCGGCCGGGGGTGGGCAGGCACTGGCAGGAAGCAGGGTCCAGTGGCCTCATGTTCCTGACCCCCCGCAGCGGATCTACACTGCTCACTGTAGGTTCCAGGAGCGCATTGAGGAGAACGGCTACAACACCTACGCCTCACTTCGCTGGCGTCACCGAGGCCGGCCCATGTTCCTGGCGCTGGACAGGCGGGGGGTCCCTCGACGCGGTGGCCGGACACGGCGGCACCACCTTTCCACTCATTTCCTGCCCGTCATGGTCTCCTGAGGCCCCGAGGGGCTGTGAGGAACAGCTAGACAAGATCCAAAAGACATCTGGGCAGGTGGCCAGGGACCAGAAGCTGGAGGAGGCCCAGGCTGTGGCCAAACCATGTCTGGTCACTCATTCCTTTCACAAGCACTGAATGCCTGCGATCTGCAGGGCTCTGGGGACCCTGCAGGAACCCCACATCCACTCTTGTCCAAATCTGAGGCAGGTGAACACTGAGCTGAGTAGGGGCTGTAAGTGTTGAGCCATGAGCTGGGGAGTGAGGAGTCCCCAATCAGGCACCTCCTGGACTAGAGACTGAAGGTCACGAGGCCTTGGAAGAGTATTCTGGGCTGGGATACAACCTATCAAAGACTCAGCAATGGGAACCCATTGGGGCGTTGAGATAGAGAGGAGAGGGGAAGCTAGGGACCAGGGAGTCTAGGGACCAGGAGGGAGAGGACAACATGGACATGCCAAGGGTGACAGGTCCTGACCTGTGGACATGTTGCCTCACACTGTAAAGGGACTTTGCAGGTAGGATTAAGTCAAGGCCCTGAGATGGGGATGATCCTGGATTATGGGAGGGAGCATTATCATTACAATGGTCCTCCTAAGAGGGAGGTCTGAGCATCTGAGTCAGAGATGGAAGAGGCTGCGCTGCTGGCTGTGAAGATGGAAGGGGCCACGAGCCAGGGTGTGGCACCTCTAGAAGCTGGAAAAGGCCAGAAATGGTTCTTCTTGGAGCCTAAGGAAGGACCAGTCCTGCCCACACCTGGGGTTAGTTAGCCCCTGAGACTTATGCAAGACTCCTGAGCCCAGATATGTTCAAGAATAAATGTGTGTGGTCACAGCAGATATAGAAACACACATACAGGGTCTGAAATTGAGTAATGTCTTCAAAGCTTCTTAGTTCTTCAGGAGGAGGGGTGCCATGTGCAGACTGAGGGGCTTCAGGTCAATGTCCTCCATAGGCTGGGGATGGAGGGGAGTACATGGGAAGTGCTGTGCCTGGGGGAGTGCCCACCACTCTCCCAGAACCCCCCACCACAAGGCTGAGTTCTGGAGCCTTGGGTCAGACAATTCCATTCTGGGCCTGTTTCTCCTCCTATAAAGTGAGAATAATGATTGCCCAGCTGGTGTGGCTCAGTGATTGAACATCCACTTATGAACCAGGAAGTCACAGTTCGATTCCTGGTCAGGGCACATGCCAGAGTTGCAGGCTCGATCCCCAGTAGGGAGCATGCAGGAGGAAACCGATTGAGGATTCTCATTATTGATGTTTCTATCTCTCCCTCCCCCTTCCTCTCTGAAATTAATAAAAATATATTTAAAAAAATAAATTGAGAATGATGATGCCGTTTACCCCATGGGGTTTTATGGGGTGGGGGGACTAACGTGGGAGCTCCTCCTAAACTAAGGTGGGACATTCTGCTTGGGGCAGGAAATCCCTGGGGAGTGAGGTGAGGGCTTCCACCCATCCCAGCCTCTTGCCACTTAAAATACAGAACACAAAGCCAGGGGTCACTTACGGGGGGTGGAGGATTGGGGTGGGAGGGGGTGGTAGTACAGAGTGGACACTCACTGTGGTCAGGGCCAATGGTTCCACCCTGATGACCCTGCACTCCAGAATAGCCTTCGTACATGAACACCATCAGCTGCAGTAAGCACAGGCTGGGAGGCCCCACCTGACAGCTCAGCACATTGGGGTTTCCTGTTTCATGTTTCCAACGACGCAGTGACCCTCTGCACCTCCTGGTCGAACGTCACCAGTCCACTTCCAGGATTCTGGTTTGGGACAGCGGTGTTGGCTGGTGCCCAAGAGGCACAACCCAGGGTCCGGCGCAGAAGGAAAACGCCAACCACCTGCTTCTCTAAGTAGGTGTATTTTTAAATAACTTCCAAGATACATATATTTTTTCCTTTAAAAAACATCTGTCAGAGCAGTTCAGTTCTGTTTTGCTGGTCATTCTTGTGGTCCCGAGCCCCCTGCACTCAAGGCGGGGACTGTTGGCCTGTCTGGTGGGGCCAAGACCCCAGCTGAGTGGCTCTACCCCGTCTTTCCACAGATCATGCAGGACCGCATGTGAGCTAACGTCCATTTATTTCAAAGCAGTAATAATTTAAAATTATAAAAACCTTTCCACTGTTGAACATGTAGAGGGTGAGGTTAGAGACAAATGGGACAGGGGATGTTGGGGACGCCTGAGGGCGACATATGCCCTGCGTCCCTCTGTGCCCAGCCCCTCAAGGGACATCCCTGGGGGAGGGCCGGACTTCCTCCACAGCCTGGAGGCAGTGGATCCTCCGAGCCTCTGCCCACAGCTGGGGCACAGCTGGCACCGGAGTCCATGGGAGCCATGGTGGTGTGAGAGCTGAGGCAGGTGGGGGGCACCTCCTGGCCTCTGGGATGTCCATGTCCCCCCTGCCCACAGGGCCTGGTGCTGGCTGGGGTCCTGTGCTTACTCTGGGGACTGGTGGGGGGACTCAGGAGTTGCTTGCTGGGTTCTCGTTGCTGGGCGAGCTGGAGGAGGACGACGATGAGGAGGAGGAGAAGCTCACCGCGGTCAGGCCTGGGGGGTTGGTGGCCGTGTTCTGTCCTGTGAGGCTTTTTCGGCAGACAGGGCAGCTGTCGTGCTTTGTGGGGAGAGAGGGGAGCAATTCAGAGGCTGGCAGGGGGCAGGGGCGGAGAGGGCCAGTGGCCATGGCCACCCACCTGCTCACCTGCTCCAGCCAGGGCACAATGCAGCCATCATGGAAGAGGTGGTTGCAGGGCAGCTGCCGCACACGCTCACCCAGCTCGTAGTCGTCTTTGCATACAGGGCACTCCAGCCCAGAGCCTGCGGGGAGTGGGGATCCCGTGACACATCCAATCAAAGGTGTCCCTTTGGGGAGACTGCCCATCCAGAGCCACTTTGGACCCAGGGGAGGGACAGAGGCTATGTCCTGAGTCTTATGTCCCAGGGGAACAGAGGAGACACTGATAAAGCCTCCCCTTCAAGCCAACCTTTGGTCTAACATAAAAGTCCTAGAAAATAAAAGAAGCTGGTGACTGAGGGCCACGTACCTACGTGTTCCTCGGTGACAGTGACGGTGGGGAGGGCCTGGATTTTCTCTTTGTCTGCGGGTGGGGGGCCTGTGTTTTCAAACTGATTGAGGAGCTGAAAGACAAGAGGCCAGAGTGCAGGAGCCCTGCCCGACTCTGAAATGCAAGGCTAGGTTACCTGCAAAAGCACTGAGGCCGCTTTTGTCCTGGTTCCCCAGATCCTCCATTTAGGGATTAGAGGTCAGTCACCCCATGAGGCCCAGCCACCGGCTCCTGCCCACTCTTCTGCTCATCTAGTTAGTGTCACCTCACAGCCAGAGCAGGAAGACAGGGCCCTGGGCTCATGCGGTCTTGTGTCCTGTGAGGCATCAGCTAGAACCAGAGGGCCAGATCCCGTCAAAGACAAAATACTCAAAGGGGTCACTGGCAAGCAGCCCCGAAAGTGGCAATGTTTCTGCCTCACAAGTGCCACAGAGGTTATGGTGAACACCCATCCTTGGCACGCGGTCTCCTGCTCTACAGTGGTGCCATGCCAGGAGAAAGCATTTTGGCTGGTGTGCCCCAGCCTCAGGATGGGAGTTCTGGGGCACTAGGAAACTGAGCATCCACGCCAGGGATGTAATCCACCAGAATACTTCTACAACCCTCTCATCCTCTCAATGCTGGGAGGCTGGCGGGGGGCAATGGGCCTGTTGAAACGATGGTGGTGTTCCTAGTGCCACCTGGGGAGGCCCACCCTGTACCTGCGTGATGATCGCATCCAGCCCGTTGGCCCCCCAGGCGTAGTCCATCGGGTTTGAGTGCAGGACACCCCTGGGCAGAGACGTGTGGGGTTCAAGTAGCAGAGGGACTGGGGGGCACTTAGGGGACCCGCCCACCTACTCACCAGGGGCCCAGGCCCAGGTTGGGGATGGTGGCTGGAGTGATGATGCCATTGACCAGCTGCTGGATGATCCTGGAACAGAGCAAGGCCAGGCCTGTGGTCAGTGCCTTCCCAGGGTCAGGGCCCCTTTAAGGAGGACACACAGAAAACTGGAGCCCGCTTCTAAATCCATAACATTTAAAGGTTGTGCTTTAGACCAGTAAGATTTGTGATGAGGAAGAATGAAACATGAGAGGGACCCAGAGAAGCATCCCCCTCTGGAGTTCCAGGCCAGGTTTTCCCAAGGCCCGGATGGAATCTATGGCTGTGACACCATTATACAACCTGGGGGAACATCCTGGAGTTCATGAGAGCCCTGGGGTCAACCTTGCTGTTTGCAGCAGGCCAAAAACATCCAATCCAGACCCTGCTGTACCAGAGCCCAAGGTCTGTAGGGTATGGGTGCTGCTCAGACATGAGACAGCAAGGGCATCAGGGACTGGCTGGGCCAAGCTAGAAATGCCTCCAGCTCAGTGAGGGAAATGGATGGGCTGTATGTAGATTTAAGCCCATTTTAAGTGACACAGGGGCTTCATGTACAGTCAAGTCTATCTCAGAGATATGTGAGAAGCCTAGCCTTGCCTCCTCTGGAGAGATGGGCCTGCAAGGAACAATGTTTTTATTCTCAGTCCTATGAGCGCCTTTCCCCTTCCTGTGCAGTCATCAAGCTAAAAAGCCATTTGGGTACCTGCACACAGGAGGGGGCAAGGGGCCCCGTTACAGGGCAGAGATATCAGGAACTACCAGCTCACTGCTGCTCTGGGACAAAGATCTGAAGGTGAATCAGCCACATCCAATGAAGCCCTGCTCAGAAGGACAATGGGGACACTCAGTGGACATGAGGCTCTCCCAGCCCTGTCCAGGTCCTTGAGCCCCCCGAGTCCCCCCCCCGACCCCTATCTGCAATACCCCATTTTGCATGGTGGGCTTGGGTGGCTCTGCCAGAACTCATGGGAGATCTGCCCTGTCAAGAAGCAACATCCGCACCATCTTCTGGATGGGCAGATGGTCTCCGAGTGGGGTGGGCAGGCCAGGAGCCTCCAAGAGCAACCCACCCACCCACCTGCCCCCCACAGCCCCCTCACCCTTCTAACGTGGGGACGCCTTCATGCCGGCCGGTGGCCCTCCTTGCAGTGAGGCGGGCTCGGGGCTGCCGGGCGCCATACCGGTGCCGGGACTGCTGCTCTCTCTCCCGCCGGCTCTCGGGGTCTCTGCCATTGTCGGCCAGTGCCCCTGGGGGGAACGTGGGGATCTCAAAGCTGTCATCAAAGATGCCGAAAGCAAACTGCCCGTATCCCTGCGGCAGCGTGAAGAGGTGTTGGTCCACGTTCTGCAGGAGGAAGGCCGTGACCGTGGGCCCCTTGCATGGGCGCCACAGTTCCTCCCCACTGTGGGCACTGTTCTAGACTCAGGGCTTCAAGGGGCAGGAAGACACCAGAGAAATTTTGGTGCACATGCAGGAGGCTCTCGGAGGAGGGACAAGGATGGGGAGTTCAAGAGATCCCAGGGCTCGGTTGGAGTATCATCCCAATACACCAAGGTTTCAAGTTTGATCCAAGGCCACAGCACATATAACAATCAACCAATGAATACATGACTAAGAGGAAAAACAAGTTACTGCTTCTCTTTCTATCCGCCCCCCTCTTCCCTCTTTCAAATCAATTAAAAAAAATTTTTTTTAAGTTAAAAAAAAAAGAGGCCCCAGTAGTAGGGGAGAAGGACAACCCTGCCTGTTGGGGTGCGGGGGGGGGGGGGGGGGGGGGAAGCAACCACCTGCAGGACGAGGGGCTGAGTCTGTTTCCTCAGCCATGCAGGGCATGATCCTTTGTCAGGGGAGGCCAGTCAACTCACCTCAAATGGCTGCCTGCTTTGGTCTGTGGGGGCTGTGGAGGGAGCGGAACCGTTCTCTGTACTCCTGGGTGGACACGGTGCAAGTCAGCAGTGGGGCGACCCGCTGGAGAAGAGGCAGGACCCCCGCCTGACCCCCACGGGCCTCAGGGTCACTCTCCACCCTCAGCAGCCCCTGCCCTCATCCCAAGTCAGGAGAGTGAAGACCATCTTAATCTCTGGCTGCCCAGGGACTTCAGGGCACTGCCCCAACCCCACCCCATGCCCACGATCACCCTCCCAGGATCTGTTCACCGAAACGGCTCTGAACCAGCACTGGGTGCAGCACCCAATGTCCCCTCGGCACAACTCTGCCCTCTCACCCCAGAAGCCTGGATCCTACCGGCATGCACCCGGGCCCGAGGCCTCTGTGACCAAGGGGCTGCATTACCTGGTCTCTTCTGGCAGCTCCTCGATGAAACCAGACTCACATCGTGGGCAGATGTAATCCTGTGGGAGGAGAGAGCAGGTGAGTGTGATCTCAGGATCCTGGCCCCCATGGACTCTGCCTCTGTGGGCTTACTGGACATCCCTGCCTGGAGCAGGACACATCTTGGGCCCTGGTCTGAAGCCCCAGCAAGCAGCAGAGGGATAGGAATGAGCCCAGAATGGGTGTCACCTCAAGAAACTGCTGCATACCAGGGGCAGACTCAGCAGAGGTCCAGTTTGGTGGGTATGGACAGGGCTTGGGCACGGGCACACATCAACCGGAGCTAGAACCTGTGTCTTGACCTGCTCCTCTGCAGGTGATCTCCCCACTCACCCAGCCGCCCACATCCCAGTCACAGAGTCTCAGTGTCCACTCAGCCTATTAGCCGATGAAGGCTTTGACAAGGCCTGTAGCAGCCACAGGCCAGCAAATGAGAGTCCAGTAAAGCTGTTTTAAGAGAATGTTCAAGTGACCCCTCTACTCACACATAAAGGAGATGTGGTCCCGGGCAGGCGCCTGACCCATACTCTTAGATGGCTGCACAAGAGACTGTGTATGGGACTCCAGGGCTATATGGGCTCAGAGGACGTTCAGCTCCCAGAAGGTGGCCACTGAGGGCAGAGGGACCGGCCTGTAGATGCCCCACAATGGAATTTCTGGAACATACTAACAGCCCTGGCAGAGGATCTGTGACCCTAAGCTGGAGTGTGACCCCATCCACACTGGCCATGCCCCCTGCATTCCTCCCGCCCACAGCTTGGTGGCAGAGACTATGATGTCCTGAGGGGAGAGCAAAGGACCAGCCTCAGGCACAATGTATATGAGCCCTGAAACCATGCCATGTCCCTCAAACAAGCCCCGCCTACATCGTGTTGTTGGGTGTGTGCAGATTTCAGGGTTATCACAGGTGTCCCTAAAGCCATAAAAAGGACACAAGACGTGTGCAAGACCTGCTTCTGCCCAAGGTGACTTTCAGAAGCACGACCCATGTGCTGAGAGAGAAGGGGTAGCTGTTTACAGTCCCATGTGGCACCACTTTCTGCAGGAGTAGCCCCATGATGGGGTGCTGGACACCTTCATCTGGACAGTGGGCACTCCACAGTGCACTCCTGGTCCCTCTCACCTGCCTGGCTGCCAAAAGCAAAGCTGCCGGAGCCAAGGGGGGAGGGCAGGTCATTGGGCCTTGTGTCCCAAATATATAAAGAATCCTTACAATCCAACATTAAAAAGACAAACAACCTAGTTAAAAAAATGACCAAAGGATCATTTCTTCAGATACACAAATGGCCATTACCCATAAGACACTTGACACCACTGGTAACAGGGAAATGCAGGTCACAACCGATGAGACAGACTGCACACCCATGGGACGACTACACTCAAACAGACGACAGTGACAAGTGCTGGCGAGGATATGGAGGAATCAGAACCTCCATCACACTGGTGGGAAAGTGCAATGGGCAGTCTCTCTCTAACACAGTGAACAGTTCCTCTGAAGGTCACACATGACCTTGAAATGCCAACGCTCGGTGTCCACCAAGAGAAATAAAAACACACCTACAAAAAATTCTATCCAACTATGACATGTCTCAAGTCACAAGAGCCACAACAACCCAAGTGTCCATCCATGCTTGAATGTGGTCACCCACATATTGGAACATTACTAAACCATGAAAAGTGTGATGCAGACACTCGCTATAACAAGGATGGATCCCGAACACACGAAGCTCAGTGGGAGAAGGTACAAAAGGCTACACACGGTGCATGATTCCATTTATGTGCTCTCTCCAAAACAGGCAAATCCACAGGGGCAGGAAGTGGGTTGGTGGTTGTCAGCGGAGGGAGATGAGGTGACTGTTGATGAGGACAGGTTTCTTTTGGGGTGATAGAATATTCAGAAATTGGATGGAAGGCTTTGGTGCGGGACTCCAAGTATACTAACCACACTGAAGTGTACATTTTAAATGGGTCGTATCTCAGAAAATTGTTATAAGAAATGGTGAGGATAACAGTCCTCTGCCCTCCTAAGAATGGGTGTGAGGCCAAGGGACAGCTCTACCACAGAGAGTGATCACCATAATCATAACCCAACACGGGATTCCCAGCCAGTGGGGTGTCACTCAGGTGCTCCTCCTACCACCCACCTGCCAGCCCTCAGCCTGTTGTTTACTTCACAGTTTCACATGAGCTACAGGAGGCTTTGTGAACAGGGCCACGGAAAATGTGGCTGCAGGGGGGTCTGCATTCACCCGATAAACATGGCAACATCAGACAAGCCTGCCCATCACCAGGAGTCTGCCCAGGGAACCCTTCAGCTCCAGGTTCACAGGAAGGTCCAAATCCTAGTAGAGCCCTCACCACAGACTTGTAGATGTGCCATGTGGCCTCAGAATGAACTTCAGTTTGACCTGCTGGAAATGAGCAACCTATTCTCCCACTTTTAAGGGTCATTACAGCTCCTGGGCACTCACTTCTCTCCTGTCCCATCGTCCTTGTCCTCCAACGTCCCAAAAGCTGCCTGAACCCAACCACTCTGTGCAGGTCACTATGGAGCCCTATCTCAGCACTAAGCACAATCAGCACATGGTCAGGTCCAGAACCATCTGGGAAGGCCACTCCCACAGCTCCGCCTCCTCCAGACCCAAGTCCAGGCTGCCTCTGCCCTCCCTCTTGCCGCCTCACGCTGGTCCTGCCCATCTCAGGGCCTACACACCATCCCCTCTGGAGAAGCACTCTTCCCCATATATCTACCTGGCTGGCCCCCTCACGGAAGCTGGGTCTCTGCTCAAAAGTCACCTCCCGGCTGCAATCCTCGGTCTCCCCACCTGTAAACGGAGGATGGCCTCAACCCCAGGGCTCTGAAATCCAGCAGCAGCTGAGGACTCAAGGTCTGTGGTTTGACATTAGGTCGTGGTCAGGCCCTACCTCTGTGCTCCGTGCAGAGTCCAGAGCGGCCCTTCTGAGCCACAGACTGCCCTAGACTTGAGGCAGGGCTCCAGCCAGTTTGCAGGAGATGGGGAGGAGCCAGAACCAGGAGTCTCCCATGCTCTCCTTCTCAGCATATCCCAGACATTTTAATTAAATCAGGGTGGCCAATGGTAGAAACCCACATCCAGCAAGGGGACTGTGAGATGGAATGAATCCTCCCACCGGCAGAACTTATCTCCAAGGGCCAAGGTGGCAACTGCTCCTCTTCTAGGTGGGGGAAACAGCCCGTTCGCTGGGCCCTAACTTGTGAGCACTGATCCTTAGCCAATGACTTGTCATGAATTAGTTACTTCTCCCCCCAGCATCATCACCATAGCAACAACAGTGGCCAGAGCACCAAGGATGACACATAGATGCTAAATTCACTGAGCACTCACTCCATACACTGGGCAACTAGGTCAGAAGTTACTACGGTATTTGGCTCCTCCTTGGTGATGGGAAGGACATGGGGGCTTTAACATGGGGGCCCATGTCACCTGGACCAGCTCAGGACAGACACTATCCTTTGTCTAAGTCTCCTTCACACCACACACAGGCAGAGGGCCGACGGTGAAGTTGGGAAAACTGAGGCAGGAGCTGGAGAGATGACTGCCCCATATGATCACCCACTACAGTGAGAGCGCCTCAGCGGCCCAGGCCCTCGGGAAAAAGCAGAGCTCCAGGTGCAGCAGAGACCCCAGAAAGGGCTGGTGCAGAGGTGTAGCAGGGGGACATGGATTCAGACCCAAACACAGACAAAATGAGACCTCTATAGCCCCCAGACCTCTTTGCTGCTCCCTCCATCCCATGTAAACCTCCTCAAATGTCACTGGGAACTATCCCAATCCCATCCCTGTCCCTTACACCCCAGTCATGCCCCATCTGTCTCCGTGAGCCCTACACACACAGCTGGATGCCGGAATGCAAAGCCCTGCCAGTACCTGGCATCATCTAAGGCCCATTTCACATCAGCCACACACACACACACACACACACACACACACAGACCTCAGCAGATAGTTTAACTCAGGGGCAGGAAGTGGGTTGGAACCTCTCTAACCCAACCTTCCTCAATCTTCCCAGGCTGCTTTTGACACCATCACAGGAACTGAGACTCCCATCTCCCACGATGCAACTGGTGTGCAAGAACCTGCCCTGGAGAACTGAGCTCTGCACAAGCCCCAAGGGTGCAGCAGGTCCACATCCAGGACCCTGCAGTCATGCACACCTACCACGTCCCCAGCACTCCAGTTTCCGGGTAAGATCGAGTCTGGGCTTGTGCATTAGCCTCAAGGCCTCCAAGTCAGCTTGCCTGTCTGGTTCCTGCTCTCACATGCCACAGCTAAGCGACCCATCTTTCCCTTTGCGTTCTGGGAGTCAGGTGCTGGGCTCCTTTGTACAAAGATACTCCCAGAGGACCTCATCGAGCGAGTGTGGATTATCTCATCAAACCCATCTGACAGCGAGGAGCCTCGAGGCCCAGGAAGGTTGAACACCTCACCCACACACAGCGGAGACATGCAGCTGGGGGCAGCCTCAGCTGGATCCTAGATTCCATCCAGCCCAGCTGATAGAGCCCATGAGTCCAGGGTACCTGAGAAAGAGCTACGTGACAACAGCCATTTCCTGTCACAACTGCAGTATCTTATAGCAGATACAGTAGAGCTAGTTTCCCACAAACATAAGTCCCCATTTCTGAAGGTGAGTGCTGGCTGGGACCTTCTGCTCTTACCAAGAACCAACTTTCCCTCTCTAAGAACACCAGGTGCTCCCCTTAACGATACACATCACCCTGTCTACTGAGCCTCACTGAATCCCACGCCAAGCACCCTCCCGTCCACCCAGATACCCCCTCCCTGCCATACTTGCTCTTAGGATATTTACCACCATTCCTGACTAAATACTTGGCAATCAGTGTTCAAGGTTCACTCCCTGACCAGTCTATAAACCCTGAGGGCAAAGGTGATGGCTATCTTGACACCACTGGATTCTGTGACTAGGAAAGTCCTCATCAGCCCAGTGACAGTCAGAAGAGGTCAGAGTCTTTCTGGTCCGACGCCATAGAGTCAGGAAGTGGCCACACCAGGCCAGGACCCAGGCCCTGTGCTGGCCCCAGAACGGGAAAACATAGGACAGCTAACTGTGCAGATGCCCAGCTGCAGCCTCGGCCTCAGCCTCCAGCCAGGGCCTACCCTGGGGCTCACACCAACTGTGAGGGACTGCATCCAACTAATCCAGGCTGGCGGCTGGTGGGCTGTCGGGCGACCAGCCCCTTCCTGCCACCGTGGAGAAAGAAAGAACCAAGAGCTGGGGCTCAGGAAGCCAGAGAGACATAAGCAAGACTGGAGTTCAGCTCCCCAAGTGTGTGCTCACCCACCCCGGTTCCGGTTTCATTTTATTCTCCCCTTTCCCTAGAAAGGGCAGAAAGTCCCTTGCTTCTGGAAGCCACAGCACTCCTACAGTTTCTCTCCTCCTGGACCCTAGGCACCGCTCTCCAAACCCCAGCTCTAGGATCATTTAAACAGACTCCTTTTCCTGGCTCTTCCTGGCCCTCTCCCAGCAGCAACCCCTCTTCCCAGGGAACCCTGGAGCTGGAAAGGAAGGACTGAGTGTAGCTCTGAAATCAAAACAGGCTCCTCCACCCACCAGCCAGGTGGCTGTGAGGAGATAAAGTACAAGGTAAATCCTGGCCACTTCCAGACCCCACACCGGCTCCCGGTGAGCTGGCCCGGCAGCGAGCGTCAGTCAGGGCCGCGGCCGGCGTGAGCCGCCGAGGGCCGGTTTTTCCACCTGTGAAATGGGACCGGGTCAGCCAAGAGCAGGGGAACACTGGTCCCACCCCAGACCTACTGACTCGGAATCTCCGGGATGAGGGGCCTGGAGCACTGCCTTTACCGAGAAGCCCCCTCCTTGTACCACTCGGCGCGGTCAGGCCATCTTGGGAAACACTGGCCTCAAAGAGCAAGATGTTGGGTGGGCTCAAGGCCTACGGAAGCGCAAGAACGCGGGCTCGGGTCAGCTGTCAGACCGGCGCAGGGCCACAGCCCCTCGTCCCCGGGACGGACGCAGGTGGTGGGGGGCCTCCCACCAGGCGGCCCGCAGCGAGGCGCAGCGCCGGGAACGGCCCCCGGTCACCTTTCCTCCGCGGCCCCGCTTCCTCCCGGGCGGCGCGCCGGAGCAGGTCACGCGGCCTCCGCGAACCTCCGTTTCCCCGCCGGGGACCCAGCGGCCCTCACGGGGCGGGAGGCCGCGGACCGGGATCACCGGCCCCCGCTGCGACACCGGAGACAGGCCCCGCCTCGGAAACCCCCGCAGGGCCCATGCCGCCGCCGCCGCCGGGGCTCAGTTTCCTCATCTGGGCCAGCTCGCCGCAGGACGCAGGAGCGAGCCCGCCGCCCCACGCCCGGCTCGGGGCTCACCGGCAGACGCGGTACGATCTCGACCGAGCAGCAGTGGCAGAAGTACCGTCCGGGCTGCGGCGACGCCTCAGCCATGGCCGCCGCCGCCTCCTCCGCGCCGCCCGCCCACCGCGCGGCGTTCGCCGCCGGCCGTTTGCTGCTCTCTCGCCGGCCGACGGGCCCGCGCACGCTCACGCACGGCACGCACGGCGCACGGGGCGGAGTGGGGAGCGCGGGAGCCGGGCTGGCGGCGCGCACAGCGGGCGGTGGCCCGGTCGACGGTGGCCGCCGAGGGGCAAACTAGGTGCAGGCGCCTCTGGAGCTGGGCTTTGGACAGAGGGGCGGGGCCTGAATGGGGCGAGGGCGAGCTTCTTTTAACCTGCAAAGGCCACTCACTTCCCCTCCTTGTTCCTCCGACCTCAAGTCCCAGTATCTCCCCTCACTGTCCTTATTGCTCCTGGAACGCGACCGGCGCGCTCTCACCTCCGGGCCTTTGCACTGGCTGTGCTTCTCCTGGGCGCACAGTTCTCCTAGATACAGAGGCATTCTTCCTCATGTCTTCCATTTCTTTCGAAATGTCTAATCAATTGAGATGCCCTCCTCACTAGCACTTATTTTTTATTTATTTATTTATTTTTTACAGAGAGGAAGGGAGAGAAATAGAGAATTAGAAACATCCATGAGAGAGAAACATCGATCAGCTGCCTCCTGCACACCCCCCACCAGGGATGTGCCCACAACCAAGGTACATGCCCTTGACCGGAATCAAACCTGGGACCTTTCAGTCCGCAGACCGACGCTCTATCCACTGAGCCAAACCGGTTTTGGCACTAGCACTTATTTTCACCTAGTAAACTGTTGGGTTAGCTCCACAGCTGATGGGATGTTTGTATTTTGTTTCCGGCTAGACTCATAACAATGCCTGGCACAATGACATTCCCTAAACAATTGTTGAGTGAATATAGACAAGAGACCCATTCCTGGATCAAAGAAGGTCCTGGCTCAATCATGCATTTACTAGCATTTCTTTCTCTACTCAGCAGATATCCATTGAGCACCTGGCTGCAAGGACACGGCATGGGAAACAACAGTGAAAAGGGTACTCTCTGGCTGGAGCAAACACAGATAGGCCCAGACACCTCTAGCTGCTTGAGGTTGAGCCAGAGGATGGAACCCTAAGGTGGCCCTGGCTCTTCCTGGGGAGACAGTCAGAGCTTCCTAGGGGAGAGGGCATTAGCCAGGGTGTTGAGGAAATAAAAAGTGCCCCCTCTGTGTAAAAAGTCTTGAATGGCCGAAACCGGTTTGGCTCAGTGGTAGAGTGTCGGTCTGAGGACTGAAAGGTCCCAGGTTCGATTCCGGTCAAGGGCATGTACATTGGTTGCGGGCACATCCCTGGTAGGGGGTGTGCAGGAGGCGGCTGGTCGATGTTTCTCTCTCATCGACGTTTCTTGCTTTCTATCTCTCTCCCTTCCTCTCTGTAAAAAACCAATTATGTGTGTGTGTGTGTGTGTGTGTGTGTGTGTGTGTGTATATATATATATATATATATATATATATATATATATATATATATATTTTTTTTTTTTTTTTTTTTTTTTTTTTTTTAAGTCTTGAATGTCAAGAGGCTGAGAGTTGTCTGCCAGTGTCTAGTGACTCTAGTCTCACTCAAGGCTTGGGGTGATTCCTGTTTTGACCACCAGAGTGCGCACTGGCCCCATCGCAGGGAATCCAGGAACTTCAGATCCAGGGAGGAGTAGATCCTTTGCCTAAGACCTCTCATGCCCAGCTACTGGCTCCCATCATACTGCCGACATTCATTCTTTAATTCTGCAGAAGTGTATGAAGTACTACCCAAGAGGCCTTGGAGCCAGTAGGCTCATGTTCAAATATCACAAACCACTGGCTGTGTGACTCTGGGCAAGTTGCTTGACCTCTCTGGGCAGGAGGCAAAAACTGCCTCCCAAAGCTTGGATGAGACTTGGGACACACATAGATAGCCATAGCATCTCCTTGGTCTTCAGTGGGCCCTGCTGCCTGCCCTGAGGTCATCTGCCCCTCACCCATCCCCTCTGCAGCTCAGCCTCATTGGCCCCCTTGGGATGGCCCAGCTGGATCTCACCTCAGAGCCTTTGCCTGGGCATGCCCTCTGCTGGGAGTGCCTTTCCACTGTCCCTTCTCTTTTTCTGCTTCTCAGGAGATTGCCCCCACCCCTTCATGGGGGAGCCCCATCCCCCATCCTGCTGCTCAGCACCCTGATCTCTTCCACCACAGCCATCTCCTAAGCCAGGAGTTAGCAATGGTATCTCCCAGTATGTGAGGCCAACACCCAACATACAGTACGTCTTGAGCAACTAAACATTAATGAGTACCTGCTAGGTGCCAGACCCATGCAGAGGGAACAAGAACACATGGTTTCCATGTTCTAAAACTACGAGTTCAGGCCCTGGCCGGGTGGCTCAGTTGATTGGAGCATTGTTCCGTACACCAAAAGGTTGTGGGCCTGGCCACGTTGGCACAGTCTGGACTGGGCTTCTACAGACACCCCTAGGCCTCAGGGTCACCTCTTCAGAGACCCCACAACCTTCCTGTTCCCAGAGTCTCCATACTGCCACCTATCTTCACACCTTGTTTGTTTCCAGCCTGGCAGGGACTGTATCGTTGTGTCAACACACCGAACCCAAAGGTCCATCTGTATTGGCCTATTGCTGCTGTAACAAGTCACCACCACTTACTTGGTGGCATAAAAAAACCACAAGTCTTTCTCTTCCAGTTATGGAGGTCAGAAGTTCAACATAATTTTTGCAGAGCTAAAATCAAGGTATCAGCAGAGTTGCATTCCTTCCCAGAGGCTCCAGGGAAGAATCTGTTTCCAACCTTTTATAGCTTCTAGAACTTGCCCACATTCCTTGGCTTTTGGCCCCTTCCTCCATCCTCACAGCCAGCAATGGCAGGTCATGTCCTTCTTACGTATCATCTCTCTGGACACAGAGGGAAAGGTGTTCACTTTTTTTTTTTTTTTTTTTTTTTTTTTTGTCTCAGCTTTTAAGGATCCTGTGATGACACTGGGCTCACCAGGAAACCCAGGATTATCTCCCATTCGAAGGTCCTTAAAATGCAAAGTGTCTCTGCTATCGAAGGTCCAGGGATTAGGATCAGGTGTCTCTGGTTGAGTTGGGCTTTCTCTTACTTATAGTACTGTGCATTTGTTCCCACCCCACTCTTACACATGGTTCAATCCAACTCCCAAGTCTCAATTTAAATGTCCTGTTCCTCTGAAAAGTCTTTCTTGCTTGGTCTCTCCCAGGCTGGGTCAAGTAAGGCCTTGGGGTGTTCATCACAACTCTGATCACATCAGTTGTTACTGCCAATTTACCTGTGGGGTTGGGGTAGAGAGAAGCCTGGAATGGAAAGCAGGGACTATGGGGAGTCATGGTGGCTGTTTGAGCTGGGAGTAGCAGGTAAGGCTGAGGCTGGGTCAAGGTAGAGAGGAAAAGACTTAAAAGGGAAGGTAGAGGCTTCCCAGAGAGGGCCAGTGACTTGTTTGAGGTCACCCAGCACATGGCCTCTGGGGTGGGGAGACACACCAGGCTGGGAGCAGGAGGCCACTGGCAGCTGGCCTCTGTTTGGAATCCATACCAGGCTGACAATGACCTGTTGATTTGCACAGCCCAGGCCAGGGTGTCTGAGATCAGGTCTCGGCCAAGGTCGCTCTGTCCAGCCCCCACACATCGTTGGTGAGAACACAGAGTTTTATCCCTGCTCCATTCCCCAACCAAAAGAGAATCTCCTCAGACTGTTAGAGGCCAAGGCCAGGTCAAGACAGCTGGGCATCTTCCTCAGTCCTCTGGGCAGTAACATAGCCCTTGGCCACTGGCTTGAGGATATGGGTCAGGCTGGCTGCTAAGGTGGAGGAAAAGGTCTGGACTTGGCACCTGATGATAGAAATTCTTTTAAAAAAAAATATATATATTATTGATTTTTTACAGAGAGGAAGGGAGAGGGAGAGTTAGAAACATTGATCAGCTGCCTCCTACACACTCCCTACTGGGGATGTGCCCGCAACCAAGGTACATGCCCTTGACCGGAATCGAACCCGGAACCCTTCAGTCCGCAGGCCGACGCTCTATCCACTGAGCCAAACCGGTTTCGGCTGATGGCAGGATTCTTAAGCATGCAGAACAGGTGCTGTGCTATGTGGCCACAGGGACCCTCAATTTCCACCCCTGAAGAGCAGGCAGATGCAGGAATGGGGAGCGATGAAGCAGATGTGGTCCTGGGAGATATTCAGTTGTGCTCCATTTTAAAATTTTCCCTGAAAGCATTTACCACTCTTTGAAGTTATATATCAATTTATTTGTCTATGTGTTTTATTGGCTATGGCCCCTACAAACCGTGAGCTCAGGGATGACAAGATTCGGTCTGCCTTGGTCACCCTGATAGCCCAGCACCCTACAACAGTCCCTGCCACCAGGAGGTGGTCATTCATTATTTCTTTTTCTTTAAAAAAAATATATTTTATTGATTTTTTTACGGAGAGGGATAGAGAGCTAGAAACATCTATCTGCCTCTTGCCCACCCCCTATTGGGGATGTGCCCACAACTAAAGTATAATACATGCCCTTGACTGGAATTGAACCTGGGACCTTTCAGTCCGCAGATCAACACTCTATCCACTGAGCCAAACTGGTTTCGGCTCATTATTTCTTAGAAGCACAAGCATAGAGGAGCTGCACAGAACCCATGAGCACTTTGAGGGTGCCCTGAACAATTTGGGAGGCCCCCACGGTAGAAGGGAAGAGTGTCTGGCTGCACCAAGGCCCCCGTGGACTCACTTCCCAGGTCCACACGGATGTCATCATAAACTGCAGGACACCCAAGATTCCAGGGCACAGAACCTGAGCGGAGAGGAGGGAATTCCCCCAAGACAGTAAGTTACTGTGGGTGTGGTTCTGGCACACTTTCCGCAGAGGTCTGGGAGGGGTGCACGTCTCCCAGGGTGTGAGGGGCAAAAAATAGGTGCACAGTAGGCACTTTGGAAGTCTGATGCTGTGCTTATTGCAGTCAGTGATGTTGGGGCCATTTCTGTCCCTGGTCTCTCCCTGCAGCCCCCAGCTCCTCCCCTCCCCAAAACACTTGCTCACCCCCAGCTGTGCCCGCTGGCTAGAGCAGCCAGGTAGCTAGGTAGAGGGTGGCCTGGGGTGTGAGCAGCCAGTCTGGGGCTGAGGTCCCCCAGTGTGGGCATGAGGTCGAATAGGGACCAGAGGATCACATATGAGCCATACCAGTGACCGCATGCAGCCCAGAAGGTGGTACACACTCCCCATGAGTAACCAGTCAGCTCAGCCACAGCTCTTCAGAGGAAGAGCCCAAACTCACGGTGACGCCTCGAACTCACAGCTCAATCACCATTTGGCCCCCTAGACTTCGCTGCAGCCATACTAAGGTCCCAGGTCGGGGCCACCACCCACCCGCGGCCACCCGGGTGGCCAGGCCCAGCCCCTGCACACATCGCGCACGGCTCTGCCTCGTGCCCCGCCATGCACGCGCCCCGCCCCAGCCCAGCCCCGCCCGCGGGACCTTTATAGGGAGCGCCGGGCCGGAGCACTGGGAAGTCGGTGCCGCCGCCCTCCCTGCTGCCCGCCTGCGCGTCCTGGTCCGACGCGGGGGCCGCCGCCGCCGCCGCCGCTGCCGTCTCTGCATTCGCCATGCGTCCCAGGGCGCCCGGGCCACTGTGGCCACTGCCCTGGGGGGCCCTGGCTTGGGCCGTGGGCTTCGTGGGCTCCGTGGGCTCGGGGGACCCCTCGCTCGGTGAGTGGGGTGGCCGGAAGAGGCGGGTGGGGTGGACCACCCACGTGGGCCTGCCCGGAATGCGGACGGGGAGAATGGGGGGAATGTTGGGGGTCGAAGCAGCGGTGGCAGCTGGGAGGTGGAGGGCGATGACCAGAGGCCGCTGCAGATTGGATCCGGGAGGGCTTGGGGCTCCCCCTCCTCCAGCCCCAAAGGGCCTGGAAGAGGGTAATCAGGAGGTCAGCAGAACAGATGTGACTCTGTCACAATTAGGGCCAATAGCAGTAACAAGGACTGACATTTATTGAGCGCTTAGTGTCAGTCTCTTATCTCCCTGAATCCATATAGCAGTCTGGTGGTGTGGGAACTCATCGTGACCGTTTTCCAGACGGGGAAACGGAGGTTTGGGATCACACAGCTTGTAAGTGGCAGAGCCAGAATTGGAGCCCGTACTGTCTGGGTCCTGACACCTCAGAGAGGCAGGGCTGGGTGGCCGGACACAGGACCTCCAGCAGGGGCTTCAGGTTTTCCCTGGGTCTGGCTTAGGCAGACGGGTCCTTAGAGCGTCCTACCTGCCACTCATTGGGAGACGCCAGGCAAGGAACATCCCCACTCTTGGACTCAGTTTCCCTTTTTATGAGTACCAGGTGCTGACTTCCCAGAGTTGGTCCCTGGGAGGCATTTAGTACGGCACCTGGGAACCAGTGAATTCTCTGGGATGGGGGCCATGGCTAGTCCTACCCCCACTTAAGGGTGAAGAAACTGAGGCTATGTACCTCACACACACACACACACCCAGCAGCTCCACCCAGCCCTGCACGGAGGGAAGGGAGGGAGAGTGGAGCCCCCTCCCCGAAGGCCATGTCCCCGGGGAGACAGTGAGCTCATGCAAAGGGAATGTTCCCAACTTGGAGTGAGTAAGAGGCAGTCCAGGCTATGGAGGGGGGGGGGGGAGAGTGGCAGTGCTGCAAGGAGAAGGGGTTCTGCATGCCCTCGGGTGCTGTTTAGACAAAGGGCAGGCAGCTCCAGAGCCTACTGACCATGACACATCCAGCTCTGGGTGTTTGGGCAAGATGCCAGGCCTGGGTGGGTAAGGGGGCAATTAAGGAGGTGCGTGGATAGAAGAGAGCTTCCAGGATGGTTGGGGGTTGGCTAGAGGTTGGTGGTGGAGTAGTTGGGGGATGAGGCTCAGAGAGGAGGATCCCAAAAGGATCTGGAGCTCCCCCTTCCCAGGTTGGGAGTAGGTCACCCTCGTAGTAATTACTGAGTACCAACTGCATGCATCCCCAGGGCTGGGAGCTGAGTGGCAGGTCCAGGCGTGGGTGTCAGGAATGGTACAGGAGGGCACCTCTGGTCCCATAGGAACTGCCCTCCTGGTCCACAGGTGGTGTCTGCTGGCTCCAGCAGGGCAAAGAGGCCACCTGCAGCCTGGTGCTGAAGACCGACGTGAGCCAGGCTGAGTGCTGTGCCTCCGGCAACATTGACACCGCCTGGTCCAACTTCACCCACCCAGGGAACAAGATCAGCCTCCTGGGCTTCTTGGGCCTTGTCCACTGCCTCCCCTGCAAAGGTGAGACCCCGGGCATCGGCCACAGTCCAGGGTCACTATGGTGGAAGGTGGACCTGCTGGAAGCGAGCTTCCTGTCTCGGGGGCATGCAGGAGGAAGTTGAGGCAGCTGAGAGGAGCAGTTGTGGAGGGGATCCCGGCCTCAGCGTCCCTTAGTTGAGGATTCAGGAAGAAGCTCTGAGGACTCCCCAGCTTGGTTTCCATCCTCGAGGCCTTTGCTTATCCCAAGCCCTCTGCCAGGATGGCCTTTCCCCCCTGCACCCCACCTGGTGGAAGTATACTCAACTCACAACCAGCTCCTGGGAAAGTAGATTTTCCATGTTTGTGACCCCCCACACTCAGTGTCCCAACTATCCTTATCTGCCCTTAACCCCACGGATCCCAGGGAACTGTGGTGGACCCCAGTTGCATGTTTAGTAATCATGTGCCTTCTGGACCATGTTCTGAGAAATGCTGCCAAGTTCTTCCATCAGACAAGTTCTTCAAGGGCTTTCCCACACCCCTGTGGTCAGGGCTGAACCTGCAGGGACCCTGAAGGAACATGACTTGAAGGAGGTGGGCAATAGAGACAGGTTATTGGGGGATGATTAGGAGTTTGTCAACTGTAGAAAGTATGGGGGAAGAGCATCAGCAGAGACCATAGCCTGGGGCGAGATCCTGGTGGGTGGGGTCAGGGCAGGGGAGCAGGGAGGAGGCTGGAGCTGAGGGCTGCAGACCTGAAGAAGGCCAAGCTGAGGAGGCTGGCTGAGCTCTGAGATGTGATTAATCCCAGATCAGCCTGGCTGGGTGGTCCTGAAGTCAACGCCATGTACCCTGGCTCACTCTAGAACCCCCCTTTGGCTTCTGGGAGGAAGACAGACTTCAAAAAACGCCTGGCCTGGACATGAGATGGTCCAGGACCCCACCCCACCCCCCTTCTGGCCTTGGGGACAGGAACTCAGCCCCCACTTCTCCCTCTTGTATGAAGCCACACAGGCAGAGCATTTCCAGATGTGGATGTGGGCGGTCGGCGCCCAGGTGCAGCCCACATGCCCTGGCATGGGTAACCAAGGCGGGGGCACAATCCATTCCCTTAGTAGCATCCACTTACTTTATGCTCACCCTGTAAGGTGGGTTACCCCATCAGCCCCACTCTACACACAGGGAAACTGAGGCCAGAATGTAAACTTTGCCCAGAGTCTGCCCTCTAGACCCACCAGCAACAGAACTGAGTTGGGAGGGCGGGAATGTCCATCCAGGATCTGGCCTGGAGTTATGCTGAGGGGCTCCTGGCTTTTCTCCACTCACAGCAGTGAGGGGACTCAGTTTTCCAAGCAGCATGACCTCGTACAGTGGGTGGGAGGCTGCAATGAGCCTGGGAGAGCCCGAGAGGCAGGAGCAGCCATTAGTGGGGTCTGATTTGCATTTCCGAAGGACCCGGGGCCTGAGTAGGGGCAGGTACCCAAGAGGCACACTCCCCCTGGTCAGACCTGTTTCCCTACCTGAGAAATGGGGCTGCGAGGGGTGGATAACTCCCAGTTCAGAGGGCTCGGGCTGAGTCTCATTCCCCAGGAAATGAGACTCAAGCCAGGCGCCAACGCCCCGCCCCGCCCCGCCCCGCCTGTCCCCTCCTCTGGGGAGATTCTGGCAGGCATGGGGAAAGGACACTGTCTGGATGGGGTGGAGCCCCCCACCCTACCCCCGGACTGACGCAGCAGGGCCTCCCGCCGACGAGTCCAGTCAGGGAACAGACGTCAGTAGAGCGGGCTGGACCCCAAGATTGGGGCAGAGACGCCCTTCCCGCCCACACTGAGCCCCGCCTCCAGACACAGCCCCCAGCCCCAGGCGTCCACCCGGACAGTGGCTGAATGTCTCCCACAACAGACCACCCCCAGACCCCAAACCAGTATCCTTGCCGCCGTGCGCCCCGACTTCGTACGCCCCCCCCACTCAGAAAAGGGGGCGAGGCGCCGTGGACTCAGAGGACCTCTGGCCACAGCCATGAGCCCCAGCCCACGGGCGCATGTCCTGTGTCCGCAGATTCGTGCGAGGGCGTGGAGTGCGGCCCCGGCAAGGCCTGCCGCATGCTGGGGGGCCGCCCGCGCTGCGAGTGCACCCCGGACTGCGAAGAGCTCCCGGCGCGCCTGCAGGTCTGCGGCTCCGACGGCGCCACCTACCGCGACGAGTGCGAGCTGCGCGCCGCGCGCTGCCGCGGCCACCCGGACCTGCGCGTCATGTACCGGGGCCGCTGCCGCAGTACGTGGGGGCGGGGCCTGCTGGGGGGTGGAGCCTCAGTACCCGGGGCGCAGTGGGGGCGGGGCCTGTTGGAGGACGGGGCCTCCAGCGCTGAGTGTAGGTATGAGGGTTGGGGCAGGGCTTGTGGTGGGCGGGGCCTAGGTGGCGAGGTCGTGGGCGGAGCCTAATAAAGGGAGTCTTTATGCCGCTGAGAGTATCAGTGGGTTGGGTCTCTTTTTTTTTTTGTAGTCTGTAGTTTTTTGGTTTTTTTTTTTTTTTTTTTTAATTATTATCTGTGTACATATCTTACCATTGCCCCCCTCCGAATGGGTTGGGTCTCTTGTGGGATCGAAAATAAGGAAGAGTAGGGTGGAAGTTTGGAAAGGGGTTCCGGGGCTCACATGGGGTGTGAAGTATGGGTGCTTGACTCAGGGGCTTGAGAGTGCAATAAGAGGGGACAGAGCTTGAGGGTGGACTTGGGCTGTGGGATGGATTTCGTTGAAGAGGTGTGGCTTCTGCCACAACCGAGAAAGTGGGGCCTGAGGGTGCCCTCAGTGTGGTGAGCAGGGGTTCGTCATCCAGGTGGCGCCCCTGACCCACCCTGGCGCCCTGTCCACAGAGTCCTGCGCACACGTGGTGTGCCAGCGGCCGCAGTCGTGCGTGGTGGACCAGACAGGCAGCGCCCACTGCGTGATGTGTCGCGCTGCGCCCTGCCCCGCGCCCTCCAGCCCTGGCCAGGAGCTCTGCGGCAACAACAACGTCACCTACATGTCTTCGTGCCACCTCCGCCAGGCCACCTGCTTCCTGGGCCGGTCTATCGGCGTGCGACACCCCGGCAGCTGCGCTGGGGCGGGGCAGAGCGGGGAGCCGTGGTGGACTGTGGGCCCCAGCCCCTCTCCAGACCCCCATTTCTCTGTTCATCCCTCCCACTCAGCAGGCACCCCTGAGCTAGCAGAGGTTGAGTCGGAGGAAGAGGAGGAGAACTTTGTGTGACTTAACAGGGTGGCCTGGGCCTGGCGTTCAAGGCCTCCCCAGTTTTATTTATTGCCAGAGCAAAGCCTAATTTATGTCCCATGGACACTCCCCAGAGCCAGGACCCTTGGAAGAATTGGGTGGGGAGGAGGCCTGGGAGCAGTGCTGGTAGGTGAGCCCTCCACCCTAAACATCCTACTCTAGAAGCATCTGGAAGCATCATGTTCAAGAGGACCTTGCTTCTGTTCCCTGGGGAATAACTATAATTATCACTGCTGCTGAGAGGGCTGGGGTTCTTTGCCAGCAATGAATGAAAAGGCACCCTAACCTTCTAGAACAGGAACCAAGGGATGAGGAGGAGTCTACAACCTGAGTACATGCTCAGAACATGCTCAGAACCCCGGACAGGCCAAGGAAGCAGTCTGTCCCCTACCGACCCAATAGTCAGGGCTCTCCTTCCCCACTGCCTCCACGCACCCAGTAGGTCCTGTAAAGGCCCCTGAGAAAAGCCCAGCTTACCCCCTGATGGGGGAGGCACTGTCTGTGCCTCCCGACACAAGCCTCCGCTCAGCATTAGCTCAGTTCAGGGCCCAATCCACTTCTGGTGAGATCTCCTGGGGCCCAGGAGCCGCTACTCACCCTAAGGGATGTAGACACCTCTTGGAGCTAGGTGTCTGCACAGCACCCCTAGTGCCTGCTGACCCGTCCACAGGGGAGGTCCAGACGCAGGACCCCCTGGTATCATGAGGCCGCTCTTGGGTCTCTAGGCCTCATTCCTAGGTGAACCCTCTTTGCCCACCAGCTAGGCTCAGGGTTCTCACCCCAGCCGATACCAGCCTCGGGCCAATTCCCTGCATTCCTGGGCCGTCACCCCATGCCACCTCCTTGTGCCTTTGTGTAGACCAGAGGATCAGACCAGATATGGGAATTCAGCTCCTCGAGTTTGGGGCAAGGAGCTCCAGGGGCGGTGTGTCCACCCGCTCCCAGCCCCCAGGAAGTGCCTTACCTATGTCACCCAGAAAAGTGTCCTTGAGTAAGTGAGTTTGCCCAAGCCACCCAATAAGGCAATCTTCCCCACCCTGGGGTCCTGCCTCACCAAAGAAATAAAGATTGTAAAAAGCCACCTTGTGGTCAATTTCTGGTCTGCTCCTCTCTGTCTGAGCCTCTGTGCTGCCCACTTTGGTAGAGGTTACCAGTCTGGAGCCTGGGTTAGTATTAGGGTAGTAAATGGGGGCTCTAGAAGCATCTGGAAGCATCATGAGCCTATGTCCTTAGGGCAGCCACTGTCCATCGTGGCCTCAGTGTCTATCTCTGGGCAGTGGGCGGCCCCCAGAGAGAGCGCTGAGACAGGTAGAGAGTTGGTGGGCGTGGCTGGAAGAGAAAGGAGGCCGAGCAAGTGGCTCAGGGAGGAAGTGGCTCATCTGGACCCTCAGCCACCTTGAGGCCAAGAAGCAACTCAAGGGATGTGCGTAGACCATCATGTCTGGTTGTCAGTTAACATTTTATTCAGTTATTTTGGCCCTTGTTGTTTGGAATTTATGCCCCTCCCCCCACCCCAAGCTCCCTGGAAGGTTCTGTGGACCCCCTGCCCCAGCCACAGACTTTTCCAGGCCAAAGCTGTTTGCATTGGTTGTCATCTCATTTGCATACACAGTGCTGCTGCGGTTCAGGAAGCTCCTGTGGGGGCCCCAGCGGTCCTGGGTGAGGAGCTGAGCTGGGGGCTGTGGGGTCGATGCTGAACCACACCCCAGATCCAGGTCACGAAAGCAGACACCTGTGTGTATACATCTGGGGTCTTGGGGTCGCCACACCAGAGGCCGGAGAAGGAAACGAGGCCATGGGCCAGGTTCTTGCACACCAGGGGCCCCCCGGAGTCCGCCTGGGATGAAAGGAGAGGCGAGGTCAGGGGATCTCCTCTCAGCCTCACTTTGCCTGAAAGGAACTTCTACATGTAACGCCCACCAGGACCCTTTCCTGCCCTCAAAATCCTTCCATGACCCCCTCGTGCTCTTACAGCAAAGACTAAACCCTCACCTCAGCCCTCAAGACCCTGAAGGTCTACATCTCTACCCACATCTCCCACATCTCTCTCCCTTATCGGGTTCCAGCCACACCAGCCTTCCTGGAGCAAGCCAGACTTCATCAGCCTCTAAGCTTTTGCGTGCCTTTGAGATCTGTCACTGCCCCCTACTGGACACTGCTTGTATAAACCTAGGAGTCTGCAGCTGTTTGTGCAGTGCAGACCTAAACAGCTGTGCATGGCAGCCCTGGGACTGCCATGCACAGCTCTGGGACTGTCTCTCTGCCTGTCATGCCTTCCCTCAGGTCTTAAGGCTCCTTCAAGTCTCAGCTCAAAGGTGCTCTCCTCAGAGAAACCTTCCTGAATACTCACCCTGAAACTCCTGCTTTCTCCCTTCCCCTCCCCTCCTGGTCCTGGCACCCTAATGGTCATCTGGAATGAGCTCTGCTCCTAGGAGGTGACAGTTCTAGAGATGGAGAAGGTGGAGTGAGATCCAGAGAAGCGAGGTGACTTTTCCAAGGCCTGGAAAGGGGCACAGTCTGGACTGGGGCCCAGGCAGTTGGGCTCCAGAACCTGTGTTCTGAACCACTGAGCTCTCTTGCCTAAAACAAAAGATCCTCCAGGCTGAGTTTCTTCCTCTGGCCAGGGCCAGGGTATTAGGAGCAGGAGCTGTGACTGCCTGTGCTGGATCCTGTTATAAACACACAAATCTGTAGCTCTTTGTGCACGGCACAGCCATACATGGTTTGGTGTAGGGTAAGCTGGACTTGGTTCCCAAGGCTCTGCCCAGCTCTGACCTTCTCCGAGGGCCTTGGTTTCCCCATATGGTAAGGGGGAGGGATGGACGACGAATGTCTTACCGAGCAGAAGCCTCGCCGCCGTCGGTCACCACTGTGGGTGCAGACCATGGCCGGGCTGAGCTGGCCCTTCCAGGAGCTGTTGCAGACGTCCAGGCCCAGCACACGGACCTCGGCCTCCATCAGCCCGGGGGGCGGTTCCTCAAAGTTGGACACAGAGCCCCAGCCGGCCACGTGGCACCTCGTCTCGGCTCTGGGCGGCCTGGCGCCCCTTTGTGGCAGCCTCAGCAGCCCCACTGCAGGACCCAGGATGGCGGAGCTGTTCAGCTACGGGGAGAACACCGAGTTTTGGACCACCCAAACCGTCACCACTGCTCCTGCCTCCGTTTACCCGTCTGTGACACCTGGTCTCTTGGCCTTATGGAGAGAAAGCAATGGCTGTCAGAAGGCCGCTGCTTTTGCCACGGCATGCCCCCTGTCCATCAGCCCTTACCTGCTCAGCCCAAATGGTCTTTCTAAACAGCATCTCCTTCCCTGCTCTAAGCCCTCCCATTGCCCTTGGAATAAAACTCTTACCCCCCACTAAGTCCTCCCTTCTAGCAAGAATGAATTTACTGCCATGTCCTGGGCCCACCCCCACACTTTGGCTCATACTGTACCCCCCACCTGGAGCATCTTTCCTATCCAACTTTCAGATCTCAGCTTAGACACCACCTTCTCCAGGAAGCTTTCCAAGATGCCCAGGGTAGGGCAGGTGCCTCCTCTGGGCAGCCATGTGCCCTTGCCAAGGCCAGTTTACCCAGCTGCCACCCGCTTAGACTGAAGGCTTTAAGGTAGGGGTGTCAAACTCAATCAGAGAAGGGGCCAAAATCTAAAATCCAGCCTAAATCGCAGGCCGAATGGTTTACTGAACAGTCATAAACTGTCATTGTGATGGAAACGCAGCGGAGTGCAGTGATGACAGCGCGGTGCGGGCCACATTGCAAGGCCTGGCGGGACGGATTTGGCCGAGGGCCTTGTGTTTGACACATGTGCTTTAAGGGGTCAGCCCCATGGCTTGTTCCTGGCTGTGTCCCTGCTAACGGGCACATAGTTGGCACTCAATCAACAGTTTTTGAATGAATGACTCGGGCCCCTCATTTTGGTACACACCCCCTGACCTTGGGCACATCCCTAACCACTCCCAACCTCAGTTTCCCCATATGCACAATGGGATGGGTGAGTCAGAGCAGTGGATTCCAAGCTCTGGGGTCCCACATGTGAGGAAAATCCAGGCTTTGGCTGCTGACATCCACTGCCGCCTTTCTATATGCCAAGAGAGCCCCACACCCCAGACCTTCCTGTTCCCAGGGACCCATTCAGTCATATGGAGTATCTCTTCCTTTTTAATTTTTCAACACATTTGGAGGGCAAGTTTGGGACATCCTCCCTTTGAAACAGAGGCCCTGGGGGTTCCGAGAGTTGGATTTGGGGTGCCTGGGTGGGAACTGCAGGGGGGTGGTTTGAAAGGGCGCGCCTCACGGGGAAGCCGAAGGAAACTCACATTGATGGATGAAGCCACTTCCTGGCCAGAAAACCCCAAGAAGAGCCCAAGTGGCAGGGGACTGAGGTCTTTCATGGCCCTTATCTGTTCCCCCTACCAGCCTGAACATTGAGCACCTGCTGTGTGCCATACACAAGGTAAACATTCCTGTCCTCGGGTCCCGAGGAGGCAGTGAACAATGGTGAGGTAGCAAATGTGCAGGTGCTGCTAGCAGGTGACAGTTGTGCTGGGCATAAGAAAAGTGGAGCAGGGAGAAGGAACAGCAGGACAGGGACAGGTTATAGGATGAGGGGGTCGTCCAAGAAGGTCTCCCGAGAAGGAGGCATTTGAGCAAAGACTTAACCTGACTCAGGTGTTTCAGGATCCTTCAGCTGTTTTAAAACAGGCTCAGCCATCGCGGGAGTAGCTGGGACAGGCCAGACTTAGTTCCTCCCCACGAAGCTCACCTTCAGCAGGCAGATGTCGTTGGCGTGGGTTGTGGGCTGGTAGTCGGGGTGCCTGGTGACAGCTGAGATGCTGAACACCTGCTGAGTGGGCTCTGAGGTGCTGATGTTGTGCGCCCCCAGCACCACCAGGAGGGTCCGTGGGTCTCTGCAGCGGAGAGGGGCACGGTGAGTGAGGCTGGGGGAAGGCTGCCTGTCACAGGCTTTGGTAGCCCCCTTGGCAAAGCCGGTGCACAGCGATCTATCTAACCTTGATAATCATGATGCTTGTTTCATTCCCACCTCAGTTACAGTATGAGTGCTAATCATCAAAATGCTAATTCTAATAACCAAGCTATAGTTAGGATGGATTGGATATGTTTATATTTATTATAATCCCCACCTCAATTATAACATTATCTCTGAAGGGGTTCAGAACATGCCTCCCCAAGATGTGCCCCTTTGGCGTTTGGATTTTTTTTTTTAATTTATTTCAAAGAGGAAGGGAGAGGGAGAGAAACATCAATGGTGAGAGAGAATCATTGGTTGACTGCCTCCTGCATGTCCCCTTACGGATATCGATCCTGCAACCCAGACATGTGCCTGACTGGTGATCCAGCCGTGACTTCCTGGTTCATAGGCCAAAGCTCAACCATTGAGCCACACTGGCCAGGCTGGCATGTGGATTATTTTGAGCTAAAGGCCATCAAGACCCTCTGGGCTCACAAGAAACTTCTGCCTCTTGCTTAACCACCTACATGAATCTAAATTGGGGGCCTGGCTCATAATGAGACTTAACCACCAACGAACATTTTATGAAGGTCTTGAGGATGACCCTTCCTCCCTCTGATGCCTCATCCCTACCTCAGGTGACATGTGTACCTCATCTGTCCTTTCTGTTCTCGAACCTCTTATGGATGTGGGCTCTCTGACTCCCTCTGTACGTGGGTCATCCACATGTATGCATGTATTACATTTGGTTATTTTCCCTTGTTAATCTGTCTCATGTAGATTTAATTCTTAGACCATTGGAAGCATCTGGAGGAAATTTTCTTTTTTCAATAATTTTCAATGTTAATGTTATTAATTATTATAAACCAAGCACAGCGATGACAACATCTACTTATTGTCGTGGAGCCCCACCATTTCCCCTTTGTTGTCCCAGAAAGCTGGCCCCAGAGATGCCTCCTCCTTCAAGGGAGAGGGTGGGATCTGGCCATCCCAACCCGCCCCCACTGGAATGTAGCAATGCCCACACCAGGAACACCCCTCACCACTCCCACCCCTGAAATACAGCCAGAGCATCCTGGGGTCCCAAGGGGCAGGAGGCAGGAGGAGGGCCCCAGGAGGGCTCACCTGTCGCTGAGGCAGTGGGCAGCTGTGACCACCCAGCGGGCACGGAGCAGGAAGCCGCCGCAGTGATGCTCGCCCTGGAACTTCACCGATGCCATGTAGGGACGGGAGTGCGGGGCCACCTCTCGGCCCCCAATGATCCTAGCCCCCCAGGAGCCTGCAGAGGGGAGGAGGGGTATGTTGGGAAGGGCAGAAGATGGGTTAATGGGGACAGCTTAGGCGCTGGATGGGATGGGGGTCAAGTTAAGGGAGAGTGAGAGATAGACAGAGACGGAGGTAGAAAGAGAGATGCAGAAGGACTCAGAGTGATGAGGAGCCCAGAGAAAGCCCTTGCATGTGCCAGGAGGAGAACTGGACCCCAGGAAACCTGCACCTGCGCCGGTGCCTGGTCAAGATCCCAGCTGGGCCTCCCACCTCACTCCCCGGTGAGGCCCTGGAGGGAGACCAGCCAGGGGCTGTGTAGCTGCACCAATTCGGGTCCGCGTGTGGGGTACCTCAGCATTTTCTGGGGGAGGTCTGGAAGGGGGCCTTGGGGCACCTGGGGAGTTCCTGGGAGGCCTCTATATGGGGACTCCTGGGGATCCTCACCTGGAAGCCTCATGGACAGCATCAGAGCAGTGGCCACCGTCAGCAAAAGTCGGTCCCAGCCCTCCACCCCAGGCCCCATGGCCCCAGACTTCTCAAGGCTGAAGTCTCCCTGAGAGCTTTGAGGACTAAGGCACCTACCTTCACCCAACGGCCTGGAAAGGGGGAACTCAGCTGTGGTCTGTGGTTGGAGGCCCCTTCAGCCCCCACCAGCAACGCTCAGATCTGAGCTGGTGATACTGGGAAACTGATGATTTGACTGCCTTGGGGTTGTTGATCGTAATTGCACAGGAGGAAACAGCAGTGGGGGGAGCAGGGGGCTGCCTGCCCAGGCAAACCCTGGCTCCACCAGTCCCTGGGACCCTGGAGATCACTTACCCTTGCTGTGCTGGTGGGGCCTCTATATGGGCTTCAGTTTACCCAGCATCTTCCTCAGGCCTTGGTCATGTCCCCCAGCCACACACCCTTGAGGGGGTTGGTATAAGCATCACTGAAGCTGCAGGTGTGTGGAACCTCATTTAGTCCTGGAGTGACCCGAGGATGTCAGTAGTGTTTCTATCCCCATGCTACAGATGGGGAAACTGAGGCACAGAGAGGTTAAGTGCCTTGGCCAGGGTCATACAGAGAGGGAGTGAGAGGCCAGGGTTGCAGCCTCAAGACAGCTCCTATTGCTCCTGCCAGGGGCCAGTTCTACCCACATCCAGGCCCGTTTCCTCCCCATGTGATAAGCAGTTGTGAAACAGACAACTGTCCTTCATGGTCCCACCTCACTAAGCTCTCAGAAGCCCTGCAAAATGGGCTGGAAGGGGGTCAATATTTCCGTTTTCCAACCCGAGGTGCAGAGAGGGGAGTCTGTTTTGTCTGGGGCTGCATGGAAGATGATCGTGAGCCCAGGACTCTCGGACTATCGTCCTTGACTGTTCTTCCCATGGAGGATTTGGGTGGCTTTCCCAGTCAGAGCAGACACAACAACAACAGTGACAATGATAATAACAACAATCCTATATAATAAAGATGATGTAGTATGCAAATTAACCTCATGCCCTCACAGATGGCTGCCTACAACCAAGCTGACAGTGAGGGACTACCAAACAACTGAACAAGCAGGCTGCATGGGCCAAGTAGGCCGGTGGGGAGGGGGGGTTAGTGAGAAATGATCAAATGACTGAACAGCAGGCTGTGTGGGGCAACCAAACAGGGGGGAGGCGAAGGTGGGGGAAGGAGAACAGTTGGGGGAAACGAGGTCCACAGGGGTGACAGTTGGGGGCGACCACACCAGCAGGTGTGGGCAGTTATGGGTGACCAGGCCAGTAGTGGGGCAGAAAGAGAAGACCAGGCAGGTGGTGGGAGAGTGGGGGGTGATTAGGCTGGTGTGGGGGGCAGTGAGGGATGACTTGGCCGGTGGGGGGGCAGTTGGGGGTGACCAGGCAGGCAGGCAGGAAGGCAGGTGAGCGATTAGGAGCCAGTGGTCCAGGATTGTGAGAGGGATGTTTGACTGCCAGAATCAGGCCTAAACTGGCAGTCAGACATCCCCCAAGAGGTCCTGGATTAGAGAGGATGCAGGCTGGGCTGAGGAGACCCCCCTCCCCGCTGTGCATGAATTTTTTTTTTTTTTTTGTACCGGGTCTCTAGTAATGGTAACAATAGCTCCCTTTACTAAACACTTACTATTATTATTTTTTTTAAAATATTTTTATTGATTTCAGAGAGGAAGAGAGAAACATCAATGATGAGAGAGAATAGATTGGAAGCCTCCTGCATGCCCCCTACTGGGGTTGGAGCCCATAATCTGAGCATGTGCCCTTAACCAGAATTGAACCCAGGACCGTTCAGTCTGCAGGCGGATGCTATATCCACTGAGCCAAACCAGCTAGGGCCTTACTTTTATTATTGATTAGTTAGAGCTCTTTATATGTTGAAGAGATTGACTCATGGTCATATTAATTTCTTTTCTGAGAATTCTCAGGTGCAGAGGACACAGCCCTCCTGGGGAGTGAGTTTGGGTTCTGTTGATCTGCAGATGGACCAATGCTGAGCCAGCCAGAGCTGGGTACCCCATCAGGTCCCCATGCCCCTTGCCCGTGAAGGCCGGGCACCCTAGGGTCACAGAACAGGCCAGGAAGACAGCAGGAGCAAAGGCTCTGGCATGTTGGTCTGTCAAGGGCCTGACCTCGTCTGGGCCTGAGGTTTGGGGTTATAAAGCTGGGGTGGGGAAGCTTGAGCCCCTTTCTTTCTGGGATACAGTCCCTCTATGTGTAGCTTACACCTCCTTAGCCCCTTTTGGGGTGGGAGACACAGGCCTGAGCTGAAGTCAGGGCTAGGGGAGGGAAAGGGATCTCTGACTGAGGGATAGAGGAGGCTTTGGGGGCCTGCACAGAGCCTGTGTGAAGCTTCCCCAGGAGTCCAAGGGCCCCAGAGGATGTCCCGGAGCAGCAGGCTGTGAGGTGAGTGCAGAGCAGGGGCAGGGGTGCTGGGCCGCGGTGGCTAAGGAGGTGGAAGGAGAAGGGGCATCATCATGGAAATCGTGGTTGCAAGTGGTACAGGAAGGGGCTGTGGCCAGAGGAATGGGAGCTGCAGCACCCTGAGCAGAGGATTAAGAAGTGGGTGATGTGGCTGCCTCTCTGGAGGGTGAAAGGTCAACTCAAGCCTACTGCTCTAGTTCCGGACACACCCTGCCTTGTCCCAGCTCCATGCCTTTTGGGGGTCTGTCCTTGCTACTTGGGATGCTTCTCCCCACCATCTCTGCCTGACCTCCTTTCCCCAGCTCATGTGTCACTATCTCTAGGAAGCAACTGCCTGCATGCCTGAGTCTGGGGTGTGAATGTTGGGCTCTTGGGGCCCCTAGGCAGGGCCTTGAGAACTGTGGGAAGGAATTTCACTTTTGATGTAAGGGAGGTGGGAGCCCTTGAAAGTCTAGGGCTGAGAAAGGTGTAGAATGTTTTGTGGGAGGAGAGATGCTCCCAACAGTCTCTCTCCATCCTTCTATTTTTTTTTTTTTAAATCTTATTGATTTTCCACAGAGAGGAAGGGAGAGGGATAGAGAGCCAGAAACATGGATGAGAGAGAAACATTGACCAACTGCCTCCTGCACACCCCCAACCAATGCACATGTCCTTGACCGGAATCAAACCTGGGACCCTTCAGTCCTAAGACCAATGCTCAATCACTGAGCCCAAACTGGTTTGGCTCTATTTTCTTTCTTTCTTTTAAAAAAATATTTTTATTGATTTCAGAGAGAAAGGGAGAGGGAGAGAGAGCTAGAAACCTCAATGATGTCAGAGAATCATTGATCTGCTGTTTCCTGATTGCCCCCTACTGGGCAACCTGTGTATGTGCCCTAACTGTGACCTGGTTCATAGGTCAATGCTCAACCACTGAGCCACACTGACGGGCTTTTTTAAACAAACAAACAAACAAAAAACTTTATGAATTTACTTGTCATCCTTTCACAGGGGCCATGCTAATTTTCTGTCTCCTTCCAATTTTAGTGTATGTGCTGCCAAAGCCAGCACTCTTCCTCCTATTTTTAAACAAAATGCATCCAGCATCCCTAGAACCTTGAATCATTTACTTAGGAGACAAAAAAAAATGCCATTTCTCTGAGGACGAGGTTCCTGCATCCCTGACACCTAACTCTGCTGGTTGCACAGTAGGTGCTCAATAAATCTTTTTGGGCTGAATGAACACAGGGACAGAGGACAGAGATGGAATTACTCACAGCTTCCTTTTGCTGAGCAATTCATGTACTAAATATTGCCTCTGGCTGCTTCCGTGTTGCAATGCAAGTCCTGCGGTTGCAATGCTGAAAATCTTTATCACCTGGCCCTTTATAGGAATAGTTTGCCAAACCCTGGGCTACTGTGTGCTGGGCCTTGTTTCAAGCCCTTCCTGTGTATTCACTCTGTTAACCCTCCCAGCTGCCCTAAGAGATGGGGAAATAAGGCTCAGAGAGGTTAAGAAACATACCCAGGGTCACACAGCACATGTGGCTCTGAGCTGGGACTCAAACCCAGGGCCCTTGATGTTTCTCTGGGTCTTTTTTTTTTTTTTTAAGTTTGCTAATTTATCTCATTATTTTAATGCTAAATGAATGCACATTCATTGTAAAAAGGGGGATGAAAAGGCCTATAAACAAAGAAATAGCAGTGTTCCTGTCCCCTCTGGGGTGCATCCTGATACTTCTCTAGAGCCCCTCCAAAGCTATTTCCCTTTGCACACACATCAATTTATTAAGCACCTGCTGAGTAGAACTATTTTACTTACAAGAAAATAGTTTAGCCGAGACCGGTCTGGCTCAATGGATAGAGCACTGACTTGGGGACTGAAGGGTCCCGGGTTCAATTCCGGTCAAGGGCATGTACCTTGGTTGCGGCACATCCCCAGTGGGGGGTGTGCAAGAGGCAGCTGATCGATGACTCTCTCTCATCGATGTTTCTAACTCTCTCTCTCCCTTTCTCTCTGTACAAAATCAATAAAATATATTTTTTTTAAAAAAAGAAAGAAAAAGAAAATAGTTAGAAGTGTTTTAGGAGAATCTCTCTTCCCTGCCCTCCCCGAAGTCAGACCCCAGTAAGTAAGTGTGTTTGGGGCCAGGAGACTAGAGTTCTAATAAGAACCTGGAAGTCAGGGCTGCAGAGTACATGTTGGCAGTGACAGGTCCTGCCTCTCTCCTGGTCTGTGGGTCATATGGTGACACGTGCAGCATGAAGGACTCAAGATAGCCTGCAAGACATCAAGGGGTAGGCAGAACTGGTTGCCTCTGTCTTCTGCCTGTGCCTGCTTCTCACATGATCTTGTCCAGACTTCCCCTAGCTCAGCCCAGGCCTCCCCCTAAACCCAGAGGGCCAGCTGCCCACCCAATGTCATTCTTTGTTGTTCCCCTCCCCCAACCCCATCATGTTAACATGTCCTTCAAATGGCTCAGTCTGGAAATGGGGAGACCCCAATGCCTGTCATCCCACAACCCATCGGTAGCAATCCTGTCAGCTCTCCCTTCAAGATCCATCCACAATCCACCTGCCTTTCAATCTCATTCAGCCTGAAAGAGGGGTGGGATCCCAGTTCAGCCTCTGCCAGGCCTCCACGCCTCTCCACTTTGCCCTTGTTAATTCACTCCCCACCTGGCAGCCAGAGGGGCCATCATAAAAAATAAATCAGGTTGGTTCATCTCCTGCTCTAAACTCTGCTGTGGCTCCCTAGTGCCCTCAGGACAAAGCCTGAGCTCTCCTGGCTCCCTCCTCTAGCCACCTCACTCGTTCTGGCTACAGAGGCCTGCAGTGTGTGCTGTGAGAGCTGAGGCAGATTTAAATCATTTACCCTCCTCCAACTCCAGCTCCAGGACCAGCGCCCAGCGCCCAGCAAACGCTGAGAAGCTTAAGGAATTGCTGTGTTATTATCATTCCTCCTCACCCGGGCCTGGCTGGGTCCCACAGCCCCGCCTTTGCACTTGCAGCGCCCTCCGCCTTGAACGCTCCTCCTGCAGACCGCCAGGCTGCAGCAGAGGCGTCAGTTCCTCCGAGCGGCCTCCCGGACTCCCCCCACACACACACACCCATCCCCCGGGTCCTTTGCCCTCAGCCTCCCCTCCCCCGCTTCCCTCTGGACCCGGAGCTGGGAGGGACAGGGTTTTGTCCAGGTCAAGTCTAGGGCTAGCGCACAGACTCCGCCTGGCCGTCAGCATCGAACCCTCTAGACTCCCCATTCCAATAATCACAGGCTGTTGTTGTTCCTTGGGATGAAGCCCCAAGGACAAGGGATGGATGACTCCGGGCGGGGCGTGGGGCGCAGCTCCGGGGAGGCTCCAGGCCAGGCCCACGGGCGGCGGCGGGGAGGCTGCGGGCACGGCCCGCGCGCGGGGCTGGGGGAGCTGCGGTGTCGCCGGCGGCCGGCAGGGGGCGCAGCGCCGGCCGCGGCGCCGGGAGGTGGGAGGGGACGGGCGGGGAGGGGAGCGACAGCGAAACGCGGTGGCGGCGGCGCCGGCGCGCGCGCTCAGCCCACCCCCCGCGCCCGCCGCCGCCCGGACAATAAACAGCCGCGCGCGGGGCGATGCCGGAGCCGGCGCCTGCGCCCCCGCGCCGCGCAGCCCGGGCCGCCTGGCCGTAGCCCGCCGCCCTCCTCCCGCCCCCAAAGCGCACCCCTAAAGCTCGCCCCGGCTCAGCATCGCCGACCCGATCGGACCTCCGCAGGGAGATGGAGTGAGTAGGCGCGCCCGGGCCGGGGCGGGGGGCTGTGGGCGGGGGCGCAGCCAGGGGCGAGGCCTCTCCACCGCCCCCACCCGGAGCGGCGCCGCCCCCGCGTGGAGGGGGAGGTGGCGAGGGGCTTCCAGGACCCCCAGCTCAGTGTTTCCCCCGGAAAGACTCGGGCTGGGCAGCGCCGATCCTGAGACCTACCCCACCCCACCCCACCCCACTCCACCAAGGGGCCCACGGGCGCGAGCGGCTGGGGGGCAGCCCAGGACACAGGGAGGGGGAGGCGCGCGTTTCTGTTCCTGCCCGGCCCGCGCCCTGCCCGCGCCCCCTGGGCTCGCCTCGGCCACCTGTGGGCTCCCAAGTGGGCCCCCTGGGGTGATGGAGCGACCCCTCCCCATGGCACAGCCAGGCCTTGAGCTCACCCGCCACCCCTCACCCCCTCACGTCCCAGCCTGAGCTCGCTGCTCCCTGCGCCCTGGCCGCGCCCACAGGTCAATCCTCCCTCCGTCTGGCTGCCCTCCCCACCGGCCTCTGTCTGGAGCCCCTGTTAAGGCGGGGGTCGGCGGAGTGGGGGGGTGGGGGGCCGGGGGTTGGCTGACAGATGTTGTCCCGAGTTACCACTGGAGGGAGGGGCTTTCTCTCCAGGCTTCCGGTCTGGGGTGTGTGAGACTGGGGTCCAGGTGCCTTCCAACAGGGGAGCAGGGAGTTGATCCCCTCCGGGGAAAGTGCCCCCAAATGGTGCAGCCAAGAGTGCCCTGACCGCCGCTTGGGATGGGATGGGTGGCCTGGGGCTGTGGAGGGTGAGGTGTGGAGTGCCTGGGCCAGGGCTCTTGCACAAGCAGGTGCTGAATGAGTGTGCACGGTCATGTCAGACAGAGTCCTTCTTTCTGGCGTCAGGGGGGCCCCGCGCCCCCACTCCCACAGGTGGGCGCCGGGAGGTGGTACCGAGTGTTTGCCAGGGCAGGGAGTGGGCAGCAGGTGCCTGGGGTCCCGGCGGCCTGCTCACTGTGTGTGAGGGGGGGACATCTGCTGTCCGGCACTGGGGCAGGTCCCCATGGGGCAGGGGGCCTGGCCTTGTAGGTCTAGCCAGTCCAGCTCCCCCTGCCCTTCCCACTGGGTGTGTTTTCTGAACATACAACTTCCCTCCAGGGATTCACCCGTGACCCACCACACCCTCCGCAGGGTGGGAGCCCCCGCCTCCTGCCCTCCTCGGAATGTGACACCCAGTGTCCTCTGCTTTTGAAAACCCAGACAAAGGCCTCAGCTGCTCCTCAAGCCGCCCCGGGAGCCCAGCCAGGGGCTCAGGGGAGCCAGGGCCCAGACTTGTCTGCGCTACGATCCCCCACTTGTTTACCTGCTCTGCTCCCAGGGACCAGGGGGAGCCTCTAGGCCTCCTGACAGCAGGCGCCGCCGGGCAGGGTGTGGCCTCCGGGAGGGGGCTGCCCTGGAGAACGAGAGGAGAGCTAGGAGGGCTGTTTGATGGGATCTCATTGTTTCCTTCCCCACCACCCCTTTCTTTCTCAGTGTGGACACTGAGGCCCTGGGAGGGGCAGTACCGCCCCAGCGTCACACAGCACAAGGCGGGGGCCCTGTCCTGGACCTTCTTGGTCACAGGTCAGATATGGTGCTATGCGCCCCCTTTCCCCCAGTTAGGTGGGTCACTGGCTTTTCTGGGTACAGATGTGGGGTGGGACTTGGCATTACCCGGCCCGAATAGACTTGAGAGAAGCCTTTCCCCAGCTCTTGGGCTGACGGTGGTGAGGAGAGGCTGCCCGCGGGCTGCCCTGGCTGGGACACCTGCCCCCGCTCATTCCTCGCTCGTGGTCCTTTCCCACGAGGGCAGAGCAGGCTCCAGGCACAGAGGCAACAGCCCCCAGAACACATCCCTCCCCTCCTTCCGTTTCCATGGATTTTGCCATCAGAGTCACAGGAGATCTTGGTTGTAAGGCTTATGGTGGTGCTGGAAACTTTCTCTTAAAAACAAAATTTAAAAAAGAGAACCTGAAAAAATAAACGTAAGAATTTCACAAAATGTTATTAAAGGCTCAAACAGGTTTTCAGTCGTTTAGGAATGTAAAGATTAAACCTGTTTTCATTGGTTTAAGACTTTAAGGGTTTATTGAAAAGTAGCAGCTGATCACCGAGCTATTGGGCTAGATGGCTGATGCTGCAAAGATGGGACCAGGGCCGAAACCAGTGTGGCTCAGTGGATGGAGCATCGGCCTGGGGACTGAAGGGTCTCGGGTTCGATTCTGGTCAAAGGGCATGTACCTTGGTTGCGGGCACATCCCCAGTGGGGGGTGTGCAGGAGGCAGCTGATCAAT